CCTAGAAGCTGACTCAGTAGCAGCATGCCAGGCAGCAGCCACTTGACCATTGGCTTCTTCAATCTCACGATTGAGAGTTCTCTGACGGTTGTAATCCGCTGATACCTGGTCGACAATGGAGAGTAAATCCAAGATTACACTGGCCACATCCGGAGGAGCAACAAGGAGATCAACAACCTTCAAGATAGTCTTCAGAAAGGAAGGAGCTGCTGGTTCCCCCTCTAAAGTTAACATCAAATCTCTTTTAAATATTTGTGCTTTAACTTTCTGAAGAGCCTCGTCGAGAGGAGAAGTCGAAGTAGATCTTCCAGATGCAGTCGAGGCGCTGTGATCAAAGGAACTCTCTCGACCTTCTAGAATTGCAGTCAGATAACCTAACGGATTCTGTTGTTTCAGCAAGGCCAAATCCTCCTTGGTTCTGGATCCCGTCGAAGGTCGAAGGGATACTTTCGTTGGCTGTAACAACCACGTTGGACACTTGACTTGGAATTGTTTCAGTGCCTGGAGGATTTTGGTTTCCTTCAGCAAAACCTTCTTCACCGTCAGCCTCTGGGATCTCTACATTCTCCCTCTCTGTTTCAGTTTCAACGCCAGGGATACCTTCCTCCTCATTCTCTTGCACATCAACTAGCAGAACCCTAGTCTCCTCTTGGTTTCCTGCAGCTTCTTCTTCATCAACTTCTTCTATGGTTTCGTGCTGAGGTTCAGAAGTCTGATTTACTTCGTCAGCTGAACTCATGAAAGAGCCTTTCGCTGAAGAAGGCCTATAGGTAGGATCCCCTTCACTATTCAAGAGAGTGACAGAATCCTCGACATGAGTAGGAATTCGTATGGAAGTGCCAGCAGTGTCCTGGAAAATAGAAGGAATTTGTTTCTTTCAGAATCCTCATAAAGCAAAAGGGAGTGGAGGAATAAATAATGAGCAGTCGAAGTAAAATACCTGGACTGGGATTTCAGCACCAGGACTGGAGTTATCACTTTTGCTGGGATTGTTTAACCTAACGATTACCTCCTGTTCAGTAGGCTCGTTGATGACTACAGAAGGAGGCCTCGCAGCTGTAGTCTTATCCTGATTTTGGGACGGGGTTCGACGGTAGGAATTGGTTTCTTCAATCTTCGTCTCTGCAAAGGAATGGGAGGAGACTCCTCTTCTTCATCGCTAGAGATCTGGATCTCCTAAACTTTCCGTTTTTTGGAGGTTGGTTTCTGAATATCCAGAAAAACCAAGTCGAAGGGGTCAGTACCTATGTCAGATAAAAAATAAGGGTATGAAAGAAAGTAAATACCTTAGGAGAGGGGTTGACAGCGGAATCTCCCCCTTTTGTACTCTCAGCAGTCTTTTTCGAGCTGGTTCTCTTGACAGCTAAACAGAAGACAGGACAACTATAGTTAATTGAGTGTCGAAAGACAAATCTAAGGCGAAGAGATGAAAACGAATAATACCTTTCTTGACCCTGTTGAGAACCAGTTTAAATGCCTCACGTAGGTGGTGGGCGAAGTCCTTCTCATCGAAGAACTCTTTGTCGTAATATTGTTTCCACCACTCCTCAAAGGGAACAGAACTCAGAAAATTGAGGTTAAAGTCGAATAGGGTCAGTATAGTTCGACCAGAGTACCTACCAATATGCTTAGTAGCGGCATCTTCTGAGTAGTCTGCATTGTAAAAAAGTAGCAGCTTCTCTCGAGGATAAATAGGTGAGGGAAGTGATTGAGCAATACCAAATTGTCGAGAGACAAGATTTAGTTGATAAGCAATTAAGCTCAATTGATTTTTTGAGCTCTTGAATCTCAAAGGCATGATCCTGGGGAAAAGAAACAATTCCCACATGCTCACGAACTCATCAGTCACGTCATCCTCCTCATTTGAAGGATATGGTCTAGTGAACCATTCTGGACCAACTTTTCGACTGGCAAAGGGAGCCATGGTCGAAACAAAGCGCTTTCGCTCCACAAACATCATTACGAAACTTGTGAAAGCCTTCTGAAACTGTTGGCCTTCATCAGTGGGAGTTAGCAATGCAAGCCTGGTGCCTTCGACTCTCCTGTTCAGGATTTCAGGAGCCTTAATCTTGTTCTTCTGGGGAAGGAAAGATTCAAAGGTGGCATTGAGCCACAGCTGGAGAAGCCAAAAGGGACCAGATAGCAGCAGGCTCCCCCTGTCCCCTATAACCTTAAGTTGAGTTACACCATTACTGATGGACTCATATAAGTTGGCCAAAATCAATTCGGCCAGGCAAAGGGGGTATTTGTGGTGAAGCTGCATCGCGAGCGTCAGCATCTTTTTCGTCACCTGAAGTGACTTAGTACAAAAAACAAATCGAGACAGCCACATAGCCAAGAAGGCTATATGCTCCACCTCCGACACAGTACAAGAGGTTTTATCGTGGAAGTGGTTAATAAAGGTGGTGTAAGTGGGTTTTGTAGCAGTAAACCCAATAGCATCCTCAGACAAGTCTTCAGGGTCGAAATAGTCACCAGTTGGTCGAAGACCAGTGATGGCAGCTATGTTGAATAATGTGGGGGTTATCATCCCACAAGGAAGATGAAAAGTGAAATGTGCGCTATCCCAAAAGTACAACGAAGATACCAGCATGAGGGGACCGTAAGGCAATCCTGTCTTCGACAGCATCACCAAGTCATAAATGCCCATCTCTTTCCAGACAAAAGCTTGTGCCCTCTCCATTTTATTCAACCAGTCTGAATATTCAGAAGAGAGGTTAGGGCTTAATCGAAAGATTTGGTTCCCTTTATTCATGAACTGGAGGTTGATATCCTCTGTAGTCTGAGGATGCTACTTATTAGCCGGAGTAGCGTCTTCAGGGTCCTCCCTAGGTTTTTTCGCGCAACCTATGGGTCTAAGACTTGGGTGAGTAGGAAAGAAGGCGCGGTTTTTTAAGGGATTTTCGACGCATGAAGATAACGGACCAGACATAGCAGACATGTTTCCATCGTATCTAATGGGAATGAGGAGTTGAGAATCATATTCTGCTCGGCATTCTTCCGTCATGGGTTCCGCAACATACCTATCAATCGAGGAAGAATGAGGGTTAGTGGAAAAGACCTATGGTGGTTTCTAGACATCATCAGCGTTTTTGGGTTGAGGATTGTTTGGTGCATTAGAGAGGAAAGCCATTGTTGAGGATTTGAGAGAAAAAACGAAGTTGACAGTATAATATTGTAAGAAAGCAAGGGATTTGGAAATGCTGGAAATGGTAAAAGTTCCAAATAGAAAGGATTAGAAGTATTTATGGCCTTCAGAAGAGGGATATGTCTCGTCAAGGCCATTTAATGTTTCACAGGTAGTGGGACACGTGGCGAAGTGCGAAACGGTTACCGTGCAGGCATTGGGAAACGTTTTGACATGCTTGCCTAGGTTATAGGAATATGGTCATCATGGCAAGCATGGTAACGACAATTTGAAGAGACATCTTGGAGAAAAGAGTAATGATGGTTTTCTCGAGTGCAACAGCTGTTGGAAGGCGAAAAGCACACGTCAAGACTTGGTGGACAGCTGGGAAGACAGGTGTCGAATGGGAAGTTCAAAGAATGGCTATTTCTTTGAGCGTCGAAATAGACATTCTTGGGGGGGCAATTTGTTGGCTCTCAAATTCGGCACTTACTATATTTGGTCTTTTAGACCAAATAACTGGAAAGAACCAAGCCAGGAAGTATGATTCGACACATGAAATAACTTAAGGAAAAGATCTAAGTTATATTGGAATCTTCCACCAAGGGCTCATTCGACTGAAGAAGACTTATGTCACTCGACTAGGAGAAAGTATTCTCGCTTTGACACATGATACGAGGACTATTTAAAATTTGAATGATTGGAGGGAAAGGCAGTTTCGCCAACGTTTAAGAAGAGGCAACGTGGCTGAAAGCCATAGGTCGAGGGACATGCAGAAGACACTTGTCTTCATCCTAGCGCAGAATGTTCCCTCGACGGTTACCTACTTTTAGCATAAATTAAGAAACTTGTGTAATTTTCAAGTGTGTTTAACCTATTGTACTAAGTTACTCAAATATTATCCAAGTAACCGCTGCGTGAGAAAGGATAAAGCTGAGAAATGTACGTTGGAAACACCTTTTTTTCTTAATGAAAGTCTTTTACATTACTTTACTATTATCTTACAAAGTTATCTCTTTTTCTTTTACTTCTTTTACTTGTATTTCTATACTTCTGCTTACTTTTCAACAATCTCAAACATCCTTTCTCTGGGTCGAACGTGCGTTCTTCCTGCTTATCCATTTTACATAAAAATTAGCATATGTCCTGGGATTAGTTTGATCGATCCCGTAAGTAAACCAAAAAACTTACCTTTTTGGAGATCAGCGGTTGTTTACCAAAAGCAACGGTAAACAAACGCGTAATCAGAAGTTCATGCACAAAGTATCACAAAATATCACATACATCCTGACAACATATAATATAATATGAATTTCTCATGACGGTGAGAAACAAGGCGTGTCACATCAAAAGCGAACATAAGCCATATGCTTCAATCATGTAACAACTTGTTATGTTACATGATCGAAAACACTAAAACGTACCTTGCACAATGAACAAACGCGTCAAACATAACAAGGCAAAATGGTGTAAAATATGAACAAAAACTAGAAGAAAAAGTATTTTTCTTTATTAGTTTTTATGTGAGGAAAATTCTATTGAAAACTAAAGAATTAATTCCTAAAATCAACTAAGAAGATCTAACAAGTTTTTATTGATTTTTGCAATTTTGTCATAGGAAAACTTAACAAAGAAAAAGTCGTAAATCTAACAAAGAATTAGTGAGCTCGGGGGGAGTGAAAGCAGTAAACAGTGGATGTATGAATCCAGGAGAATCTAAGCCCAACCAAAAAATTGACCCATAACCAACTTTTGTTCATCTAGCTTCAATTCAATGGAAAAAAAAGTATTTGGGCTATAGGGAACTTGCAGCAAGTGGGCCCAAAGCATGTACCAACACAATCCACATTTTTCCAAAGGTTGGACTTCAACCATGCTCTTTCCTTCTCCTCTCCCTCATACAACGACGGTACAACAATCTTTTCAAAACCTTCTTTTCCGATCAAACACCGTCGTTTCTCTCCGATCTCGCCGCCGTAGTTGTTCTTCCCTATTCGATTCTGTTCGTTCTCTTTGATTCTTCAAACTCTCGAACGCCTACTTCTCCGATCGATGTGCTCATCAACAGCGTTTCATCACTGTCTTCGCCTCATCCTCACCAAATGCGGTTCTGTTTCAATCTTGACTCAAACTTTGTCACGCTTCAGTCGTGGTTCGTTCCAGCTTCACCGTGTCAGCTTCCGATTTCAACTTATTGGATCCTCTTCGACGCAATTTCTCACACAACCACTCAGTTTCCGTCTCAGTCACTTCAATCCAGTCAACACAAGTGAAAACAGTATACGATGAGGAATAGAGAATGCTTACCTACCGGAGCGGTTCCGGCTACTCTTCGACGCGGCGAAGATGAGAAATCTGAAAGATAGACTCAGTTATGCGCGTATTTTCGTTCTCAATTATACTTCTTCTCTCTTCTTCCAATTATGTGCGTTTTGTTTTGAAAACTGTCGTTCTTGTGTGCAGAGATGAAGATGATTGTTGATTGCAATGCAGAGAAATGATGAAGATGAATATTGCGATGAAGATGATGCAACGCAGAGAAGTGATGAAGATGTAAGAGCTTGGATGAAGATTTGGCTCAGAGAAAGAGCAGTGAGATTTTCAGAACTTTCTTCGTGTTGATCCTTCAAGTCATGAAGAATGAGAGATTTTGTATTTCTGAGTTTCTTGGTGATTCTCCCATAATTTGGAGAATGGTGGTGAAGATTCAAGAATTCTTGAAGATTAAAGATGATGAAGGATCCCGAGGAATTTCAGAGAGACGGAGTCGAAAGGTGAATATTTTTGTGATTTTCTATGACTTTTCTGGTGAATGAATCCTCCTCCTTGAATCTGTTATGATTTTCTGTTATGTGTTGTGAAAGTTTGTTAGAGATTAGAGAACCTCAATCTTTGATTTGGAAATTCTATTATGCCATTGATGGTGAGGATTTGAATCGGTTATGCGGTTGGGAAAGTTAGTTAGAATCTGTTAGATTAGCTGGCACTGTTAGTTATTTATCTGTTAATTTTTAGTTAGAGATCTGTTACATGATGAGCTGTTAACTGGTGTTCTGTTAGTAATTGCCAGCTGAAATTTCTGTTATTGAGTTGTGATAGGTGAGTTGGAATTCGGTTAGGGATGAATGGATTAGTTAGTTAGTGAATTGAGTTTTTTATTGATACCATGCATTATGTTTTCTTTTGTAACAGAAATTACGTTGCCATTAGACTTGAGTTCAACCACATGCCACTTGCCAAACGATGCTTCAGTGACTACTATATTCTTCCAAGAAAACTCAACCACCTGAAGACCATTGCCCCAAAAACCTTGCAGGAGCAGTGGGAATTGGAAGGCTATCTGTAGTTGAGGTTCTTGGTAGAAAAGGTTCAATGTTGGTAAGGGTCTGACTCTTATGAACTGCAGTAAGTTTGATTTGCATTCTTGAACTGGCTTTCGTAGCATGATTTTGAAGATCAACCATTTGTAGATTTTCTCTTAAATGCATTTGGTGGCTTTGATTTTTTGTATGTGAAATTTGCATTGGTTAAATGTTAGTAAAGTAAAATTTGTCTACTTGTTTTCATTTTGCTTTGGACTTTTGCATCGACTCCCATGTCTTGACCTGGCTGTTTGTAATGCCTTAATTGCTTGGATATGTAAGCTGGATGTTGCATAAATATTTATTATCCCTCGTACATATGTTGCATGTATGTTGCTGATGGTGATGATAATCTAATATAAGGTGGAACTTGTCATGCGTGTAGCAGGTTAGCAGGCGTGTCACGACAAATGGGCAGGTTGGTCTAGCTGTAAGTATGTGGTGGAAAGGCATAACAGTTATCTTAGTCTTGTTGCAGCACGTATGGAATTTACACAGGGCCAATGATGTAATATGTGTGCTACTGGTATTAGTGTTGAAAACAAATTGGTTTTATGTGCAGGGGCTGTTTCAGTTTGGTGATTATGTATGGACAAGGTTTGGAGTCTTAGGCATAACATGAGACTTTGCAAGCTAAAGCAATACAAGGTTTGGAGTCTTAGGCATAACATGAGACTTTGCAAGCTAAAGCATGATATGAAGGCAATCTTGAGGATGAAGATTAAGACATTAGGATTTTGGTTTTTTTGTTGTAATCTCCTTTGTAAATGGTTAATGATGTAATGTGCTTGAAACCTTTGTATGGAACTTTGTCTTGAAAGTTGAATGGATTTGAGAAAACTTGGCATCTACTTTGCATTTGAATTTGAAGTTTCCCTTGATTTTGTAATGACTCAAAGAATGAACATATAATCTTAGAAACTCCAAGAAAGAAGCCAAATATTCAAAGCGGCCGTATCTCTTAAATTGAGCTTGAAATTCTCACCTTCTTTTGATTTAGTGGCTGTGTAAAAGAGTAAAGTTGTAATGAACATGTAATGATTTTTGTGAGTTTAAGTGAAGCCTTCTTCAAAACATCTTTTAAATTCCTTAGTCTTCTTTAATAACTTGCACCTCAAACAGTCTCTCCAAGATGATGGAGAATGGGTCCATTAAGAAGATTGAAGTATTTTTCCCATCCTTGCTTCAATACATCATTAAAAGATCAAAATCGTTTTCTTTGAGATTTTGAAAATCACAAGAGATTCACAAAGAATGTTTAAGGAATCTAACTCTGTGAACAGGGTGACTTCTGGAGCATCATCAGGTTGTTCTTATATACTTTCTTGACCATGACTATGTGATGTAATAGAAAATGAGGAAACATTTTGGAGTTAGCAAGTGGAG